ACATATGTACAAGTTGTAATTCCTCAGTAGAATTGCATTCTTTGAGGGCAGAGGCACCCTTAGAGGCAGCTAGGTGGCACAGCAGACGGAGTGCTAAACCTGGGATCAAAAAGACCCCAATTCAAATTCTGCCTTAGGCACTTACTAGCTGGCTCTGTGACCCTGGCCAAAACACTTAACTTCTGCCTCAGTTTCCTCATCTGTCAAATGGTGATAATAATAGCAGCTACCTCTCAGGGTTGTTGTGAGGATCAGCTAAGATACTGGAAAACATTCTGTAAACCTTGTAGTACTATATGAACGCTAGCTACTACTACTACTATTATTATTATTATTGTGTTAAACTACTTGAAAAAGCCACCTATATCCATTTGATCAAGAGTCAATTGCAAAATCTCATTTTCTCAAGTGATCGCTAATGATTATAGAAAAAACAATTCTAAAGTTCCATCTCAAAAAAGGAAAATGACAATTGTTGAAAGAGCTGTGAAAAAGACAAGGATACTGGTGCACAGAAAAAATAAATATTTATTCTGTGAAGTTTGGATTCTGTCACAGGTCCACACTTGAAGACCTAGAGGTGTGGCATCGGGGCCACAGGTTCCCTATCCCTGATCTAGACTCTAGCCTTTCTGGAAGGCAATTCAGAATTATTCCCAAAACATCACTAAATTGTGGGTTTATTTTGACCCAGAGGTTTCACCATTAGGTCTATACCACAAAAAAGATCAAATGTCCCAAATGTATGAAAACATTTATAGAATTTATATTATAGAATTTATATAAATGTAAATATGTAAATAAATTTTATTATGGCAAAGAACTGGAAACAAAGGGGTAGAACTGGAAATAATTGGGAAATGGCTAAATAAAATGTGGTATATGAATGTCATGGAATATTGCTGTGCCATAAGATATTATGAAAGGGACAGCTTCAGAGCTGGAACAGAGACAAGCAACAGTCATTGAAGCATTTTTTTTAATATACAGAAAAGAACTGAAGAAAATTCAGAAAGAAATCCAAATAAGCAGGATAGCTCTGAAAGTAATATGTTAAATATATTACACCATTCTAAAAAGCAAACTACATAACAAAGATTTGCATTTTCATATATAATCCTCTTTTTATGTTCTACTTTGTATATAGAAATGCTCTTTTTTGAACATTTGTTTAATTAAGATTTTAAAACTGTCATTTTTTTAAAAAGCCTATGCTTGCCTCCTTCGCCTCTCCTCAATTTCTTTCCAAACTTCTGCAATCTGCCTTTGAATCTCTTCATTCAACTGAAAACTGCTCTCTCCAAAGTTCTTTCCACAAGATCTCATAACTGCTAAATATAATGGCATTTTCTTAATCCTCCTCCTTCAAGCCATCTCATCTACATCAGACACTGTTGCTCATCTTTTCATCCTATGTAGTTTCTCCTCTCTGAGTTTTTGTGACTGATCTTCCCTTTGTTTCCTACTTATCTGACCTCTCCCCAGCTTTTTTTTTTAAATCCAAGTCGTGCCCACCTATTGTGTGTATTCCTCAAGGCTCCAACCTACACCTTCTCTTTCCCCACTATGTTTGCTCACTTGACTTCCTCAGGTAAAACAGGTTCGATGATCATTTCTAGAACTTCCTATTAGATATTTCATGCTGGATGACTCATGAGTCTCAAACTCAATCAGACCAAAAGAGAACTTTTCTTTTCCTAAACCTAACCCTCTTTCCAACTTCTCTATTGCTGTCTAAATCATCATGATCCTTCCAGTTGCCTACATGTTTACAACCCTTATGTCATCTTCACATATAGGATCAATTGCAAAACCTCATAGTTTGGGGGGATTGGGTTTTTTTTCTCTCTAAAACATCTCTTGAATATATCCCCTTCTGTCCATTCACAAATTTACCACCTTAGTTCAGGCCCTCTTAAATTAATCTATTGCTAACACCTTCAAATTGAACTCCAGGCCTCCACTCTGCCCCCACTCCAATCCATACTCCCCACAGCTGTCAAAGTGATTTTCTCTAAAGGTTAGATCTAACCACATCACCACCACCACCCTCTTCCACTCAATAAAATCCAATGGCTTCATGTTATATCTAGCATCAATATGAGTTCTCTGTTTAACATCTAAAGTTCTTCACGATCTGGACAGCGAGGTGGTGCAGTAGATAGGGCACTGGCCTTGGGATCAGGAAGACTCATCTTCCCGAGTTTAAATCTAGCCCAGACACTTACTAGCTGCGTGATTCTGAGCAAGTCACTTAACACTGTTTGCCTCAATTTCCTCATCTGTAAAATAAGCTGGAGAAGGTTTTCTCTGTCAAGAAAACTCCAAATGAGGTCATGTAGAATCTGACCCAACTAAAAAATGACTAAGTAACAATAACAGCTTGGATTTTTTTTTTGAAGCAGCTAGATAAAGCACTGGGCCTGGCATCAGGAAGACCTGAGTTCAAATCCAGCCTCAGACACTTACTAGCTGTATGACCCTGGACAAGTCACTTAATCTCTGTTTGTCTCAATCCATTCAAGGAGGAAATGGCATACTTCTTCAGTATCTTTGCCAAAAACACAAAACCCATGAATGACATTAGTTATCTGTAATCCACAGGGTCACAAAGAGTCAGACATAAGTGAACACCACCACCACAATCTGAACCCTTCCTCCTTACAGTCTTTTAATCACCTCCATGAACTCAACCATCCAGCCAGATTAGCCACACAACACTCCATCTATTGTCTCTGTGCCTTTGCAGTGGGTGTCCCTCACACACAGAAAGCCCCCACTTCCCCATCCATGTCTGCCTCTGAGAATCCTCAGATTCCTTTAAGTCCCAATTCTTGTGTCACCTCCTACAATTTCTCTTTTCCAGTTCCCCAGCAGCAAGAGCCTTTTCTAAGGCTATCCTCCATCCATTCTGTATCCTATGTGTGTGTATGCATGTATACATGCATACACATACATATATATACACATATGTACATGTACATTATACACATACATATACATATATGCATATAGTTTTACAGGTTATGTAGGTTATTTTATACATTAGAATGTAAGCACCTTAAGGACAGGACTCTTTTTGCTTTTTCTTTGTATCTCCTGCATTTAGCATAGAGTAAATCCTTAATATGGAAAAGGAAATGGCAAACCACTCCAGTGTCTTTGCCAAGAAAACCTCAAATGGGATCACTAATAGTCAGACATGAGTGAACAACTACAAAATCCTTAATAACTATCCTTTAACTTGGCTATTTTTTCCTGCTAACCCAAGTACAATGCTTGGCATGGCAGAAGATAAAATAAATGATTACTAAATAAATAAATAGAAAGTAGATGTTGGGCTGCCTCCTTAGACAATGACGTCCTTATCACTGGGTATCTTCATTTTGTTCAAGATAGGATTAAAAAGATTCCTGCTCAGTGGATTTCAGAAAAACCTGGAAAGACTTACATGCACTGATGCAAACTGAAATGTGCAGAACCAGGAGAACACTGTACACAGTATCAGCAACATTGTGCAATGACCAACTACACTTGACTTAGTTCTTCTCAGCAATACAATGATCCAAGACAAATCCAAAAGACCCTGCCCAGAAAATGCTATTCATATCCAGAAAGAGAACTGGTGGAATCTGAATGCAGATCGAAACATACTATTTTGGCTTTTTTTTTTAATGTTTTTCTCCCTTTTGTTCTGTTTCCTTCACGATATGATTAATAATAGAAATGTTTTACATGATTACGCATATATAACCTATATGAAATTGCTTACTATCTTATGGAGGGAGAAGGAAAGGGAGAGAGAGAATTTGGAACTTGAAATTTTATATTAAAAAAAGAATGTTAAAAATTATCTTTTATGTAATTGGAAAAAAGTAAAATACTATTTAGAAGGAGAAGAAAAAAAGAAAGATTCCTGCTCAGCTAAGGGCTAGGTGTGTCCCAACACTGAGATTCTATAAGACATTGTGGGCTGGGAGAATCAAGCAAAACACCAAATGTAATAGAGGGACTTGGAGGATGGGTAGATTTAAACAGGAGGAGGAAGGGGAAGAAGCATTACAGAGAGGAAGTCACAGGCTGAGTCAAATGAGTATTACATAACAACAGTCAGCAGTACCCTTCAGCTCTTATTCTTCCAGGAGCCTTGGAAAGCCTAAAATGCAGGAAGAACAGTAGCCTTTTCAAACAATCTTTTCAAGCAAACTTTGTCTCAGCAACATCAAAATAGTTACGTTGCTTCAGGACGCCAAAAGCCTCTGCCTTGGTTAGGCTTTCAAAATGCCAGGGTGATGTCGTTGACATTTCTGTCTTTGGTATTTGTTTTCCAGATCTTCATAGTTCCTTTTTTTTTTTAATGGTTTTTTTGCCAGAGGGAGAGAAGCTCCTTTCTACACGATTCCTTCTGACTCAAACAACAAAACAGGCAAACACTTTACTAGAGCCCCTACTGCTAAGGAAGCATTCTGAAAACCCTGAGGTTCCCTGCTCTCAGATTAGCTGGAAAGAAAGACAGATGAGGTTACTACACTGCCCTTCCCCCACTGCAGGGCACTGAGAGAGCTCACAGGGCTTTGGATTACCTTGACACTGGATGCACAGAAAGGCTTTTAATTCAAGTAAACTCAACTTTTCAATATTACTTCTTCTCAAATGTTAGCTCAGGCAGACCGTGGAAACTTGGAGCTTCTATTAGTAACTACCTATGGTCCTTGGCCTATTATCTAGTAATCTATCTTTGCCAGATGGCCATAATACTACAATTACTCCTATCATCCTTAAACAATGAGCCCAAGAAACCTTAGGCTTGTACCCCAAATTCTACATGGATAACATGCTGTTTTCAGCAAGTATATTTTTGGTAGGAGGAAAGATCTGTGTTTTCATTGATGAAAGAAAATCTACTCGCTCAGATGGACAACTTATAAGCATAATTAAACAATTAGTATATCTCAGCCTATGTGCTAAGAACACATATATAAAAATTATGTAGCACTTACCTTCAAGGAGTTTATCATGGAAGATAACATATAGATAAGCATACATGGGCAACTAGGTGGTACAATGAGGATAGAATGCTGAGCCTAGAGTCAGGAAGACTCTTCCTGAGTTCAAACCTCGCCTCAGACATTGACTAGCTATGTGATTCTGGGCAAGTCACTTCCCCCATTTACTTCAGTTTCCTCATCTGTAAAATGAGCTGGGAAAGGAAATGGCAAGCCACTCCAATATTTTTGCCAAGAAAAGTCCAAATGGGGTCATGAAGAATCAGGCATGATTGAAACAACTGAATAACAGCAATATAAGTATATGCAAAATATATTGAATACTTGGCCTATGCCCTAAAGAAATCAAAGAAATAGGAAAAGAGCCAATATAAACATATTTATAGTAACTCTTTTTGCAGTGGCAAAGAACTGGAAACTAAAGGGATGACCATCAATTGGGTAGTGGCTATGAACAAATTATGATATGAGTATAATGGAGTACTAATGTGCTATAAGAAATTATGAAAGGCACACCCATCAGATTACTAACATGACAAAAAAGAAAAATGACAAATGCAGGAGGGGTTGTGGGAAAATAGGTGCATTAATATCCTGATATAATTGTGAATTAGTGTGATCATTTTGAAGAACAATTTGGAATCATACCCAAAGGGCTATAAAATTGTGCATACCCTTTGACCCAACAATATCATTATTAGGTCTGTATCTCAGAGATCAAAGGAAAAGGAAAAGACTCCAGTCGTACAAAAATATTTACAGCAACTTTTTGTAATGGCAAAGAATTGGAAACTGAGGGAATGCCCATCAATTGGGGAATGGTTGAACAAGTTGTGACATATGACTGTGACGGAATACTACTGTTCTATAAGAAATGATGCAAAAGATGGTTTCAGAAAAACTTGGAAAGGTTTATATGAACTCATGCAAATAAAGTGAGTGGAATTAAGAGAACATTGTACAGCAATATTATAACACTGATTAACTGTGAAAGACTTAGCTACTCTAATCAGTATAATTATCCATGACAATTCTAAAAGACCCAAGATGAAAAATGGTTATCCACCTCCAGAGAGAGAACTGATAAACTCCCAATACATATTGAAGCATTTTTATTACTTTGTTTTTCTTGCTCTCTCCCCTCCCCCCATTATTTTTCGTGCTTTTTTCCCCTCACTACATGACTAATGTGGAAATATGTTTTGCATTACTTCATATGTATAATGAGTGTTTTATTTCTTGCCTTCTCAGTGGGTGGGGAAAGGTTTGAAGAGAGGGAGAGAATTTGGAACTGAAAATAAAAAATTAAAAATTAACAACCAAAATCCCCCCAAAATTATGAAAGAGGTGGTTTCAGAGAAACTTGAGAAGACTTCTTTAAAAGAGTGATGAAGAGTGAAGTAAACAGAACCAGAAGACCAATTGATACAATATCAACACCTTTAAAAGACTTAAGAACTCCGACTAATGCAATCAACATTCCAAGGACAGAGGATGAAACATATTGACAAAGAGGTGATGAAATCAATGCAGATAAAGATGTATCTTTTTGCACTGCCAAAGTGGGAATTTGTTTTGCTTGGCTGTCCATGTTGTCATAAGGGTTTTCTGTTTGTTTGTTTGTTTGTTTGTTTGTTTGTTTGTTTGTTTTTTTAAACAGGGAGTATGGAAGGGAGATAAGATAAATGCTTTTTAAGTGAAATTAAACATACATATATATTTAAAATTAATACCACTATAACCCATCAGATATCTGGCAAGGAAGGCAGACCAAGCTCTTAATCATCCCCTAAGACTAGGACTGACTTGGCATATCCAGAGTACTCACTATCCTACCCCTTTAGAAGGTAGATCTGCTGCTCTACAGAGGTGTGACTTTGCTTTTCCAAGCCACACATTCCCTGTCCCTTAACAGAGGTGTGGCTTTATTTTCAAGAAAGAAAGAAAGAAAGAAAGAAAGAAAGAAAGAAAGAAAGAAAGAAAGAAAGAAAGAAAGAAAGAAAGAAAGAAAGAAAGAAAGAAAGAAAGAAAGAAAGAAAGAAAGAAAGAAAGAAAGAAAGAAAGAAAGAAAGAAAGAAAGAAAGAAAGAATATGTGAAAGCCTCCTGTTAGCTTAATTAACCACCTCCAGGGTTCTTTTTTACTGGCTCAGAATCATCTCATTCCAAAGGTTGTACTCTCCCTCCCTCTAATGTACTGTCATCTCAACTAAATGTGTGGTTCTCAAAACCCCAACCAGAACCAACTTGGATTTGCAAATGCTCAGTAATTGAAATCTATTCCTCTTTGAATTTCCTCCCTTTCTTCTCAATCTCTTGTGTGCCTTCCAGTAAGTTAAACTGGAACAAATTCCAAGATCTATCTGGTTTTTAATACAATATTACCCACCTAACAGGAAAAAAAACCAATACCACTTGAAAAGAAGACTATTTTAGACGCATTCATATAGGCTGAAGCTGCAAGGGGAGAGGTGAAGAAGAAACAGCCTGATGGCCTCCCCTTCATACCATTGTCCATTGGGAAACTATGGAGCAAAGAAATGGAGTAGATGAGGCAGATAAAGGGCAGGTAGGTGGCATAGTAGATAGAGTACCAGGCCTAAAGTCAGAAAGCCTTGAGTACAAATCCAGCCTCAGATATTTACTAGCTGTGTGACCCTGGGCAAGTCACTTAACTGTTTGCCTCAGTTTCTTTATCTGTAAAATTAGTTGCAGAAGAAAATGGCAAACTACTCCAGTATCTTTGCCAAGAAAACCTCAAATGGAGTCACAAAGAATGGGAAACAAGTGAACAAGAAGAAGCAGATAAAAGGGGAGTGTATATCTGCTCTCCCTGGGGAACACACAAGGGAGCCTCATCTATAGACATTCCATGTATGAATAATGGGGCACTAGAAGACTTTGGACCATTCTCTGTATATGCAATGTCCCCATCTCTAAGAGCCAAGAATGAGCAACGGAACCTCTTGGTCTGCAATGCAGCCCACACTGGGAAGGTTCAGGGAGGCTGTTTTGGCTCCAGCCTCCATCATTCTTAGCCTTCCTCCCAGAATTTGTTACTTTCCCAAGGCAAGGGAGACCCTGATGCCTGCTTGGTGAAAGACTTACCAGTACCCACATCTCTAATATTCTCACTGGAGCCAGGAAGACCTGAGTTCAAATCCAGACTGAGATAATTCCTAGCTGTATGATGCTGGTCTCAGCAAGTCACGTAACATCTGTCCACCTCAGTTTCTTCACCTGCAAAATGGGGACAATAAGAGCATCTACCTCCTAGAATTGGATTGAGAATCAAACGAAATAATAATAATAATAATTGCAAAGTACTTAGTATGAGCCTGGAAGATATTAAGCATTATACATTAACTATTATTATCACCTATATGGATCCAACTAGGTAACACAAGGACCAATGATGAAGCATACTACCGACCTCTTCACAGGTGATGGGTTTATATAACACATGGATGTGGGAAGGGGAAACATGACCAAAGGGGAATTTTTGTTTGTTTATACAACGATATGATTATATGTTGCAAACGTGTTCATTTTTCTTTTCTTTTTTCCCCCAATGATTGAGGAGAGGGAAGAAAAAAAAATATTTTTGTTAACTGAAAAAGATAAAATTAAATTAAAAAAAAAAACCAACTGGTTGAGAGAGTGGAAAATTCAGTCAGACCAGCAATTTGGCAGCATATAGCCAAAGAAATAACAGCTTTTGAACTGAATTTACTTTGTACCTGAATTCATCTGCATATAGATACAACCTGAGAAACATGCTGTTATTTTGTTTATAATGGTGATGTGTACTAATTGTACAGATTTCATGACCCCACAAAAGGAGGAACAGAATGCATCTGATTTTCCCTTTTCAGCTGTTACAATTATGTAACCACCATTGAGAGTCAGCACTGAATTAAGCAATGCCTGATGACCTTAAAATGGAAGGAGAGGAGAAATACAAAACAAACACCCCAGGCCTCAGAGTCAAGATAGCAGAGGATTCAGAACTAGATGCTCCAACGCCCACATTCAAGAGATGAGAAAGTCTATACCCAGAATTGAAGGGACTTGGCCAAGGTTGAAGAAGTAGAACTAAGATTTGAACCCGGGTCCTCCAACTCCAACTCCAGCACGATTTCTATTCATTGTAAAACATTTCATCCAAGGTATTAAGAGGAGAATCATTTGTTATGTACATATCATACTATCTATGAAAAGAGAGAATTTCTTTCTTCTATAGCTCTGGAGGGTACCATATTGCATTCTGCTGTTAGGGGCCTGCCTGCTTAGCATCCTTGGATACTATCAATATTATCAATCAATGCGTCATTAAGTTCTATCTGTTTAAAATGGAATAATCCATTGAGTTCAATCCACTGAGCTACCTAGCTGCTGCAGGCATAGATGGCATGCTTATTGAGTTTGTATAGGTTACAAACTCAGGAGGGAGAGCTAACATTGGATGAGTGACTACGGATTCAAAAAGATATTGACCATCTAGAAGGTTGGGCCAAGTACAGTAAAATGAAATTTAATACAGACAAATATATAGTCTTAAGCTTGGGTTCAAAAACTTAACTTTTGAAAAGTCAAATTGGAACATAAGAGCATGCCCCATCCATCTCTTATGTTGCTGTGATTAAAAATATTCTTTTTTTTTGGGGGGGGGAGGCTAGGCAATGGGGTTAAGTGACTTGCCCAGGTCACACAGCTAGTAAGTGTCATGTGTCTGAGGCTGTATTTGAACTCAGGTCCTCCTGAATCCAGGGCCGGTGCTCTATCCCCTGTGCCACTACCTGCCCCAAAAAATAGTTCTTAAGAAAGGATGCAGCAGTGGGCCATGTGCTTGGATCGAGGAGGAAGCCTTCTGTTTCCCTGAACCTTCTAGGCTTAAGACTGACCTGTCCCTTAAAAGAGCATCTTCCCCTATAGTTAAGGGTTTGGAATCAATGTAGACATGATTTTTGTCTTCACCCCTCAGACCAAGTGGGCACTAGACTGGAAGTAGTGGGAAGGATATAAGGAAGACATCACCAAGATGTCCACTGCTCCTTTCAAGG